CTATAATCAAGACTAAAGGCAGGTGACAACTTCAGAACATCCGAACTGTTATCTAGTAATGTCAACATTCCTGACCAGACAATGACCAGTGTTATTCAAGAGAACATGAGAGATCCAACATGGAGTACGAGCTAGGTACAGATATATAGAAACCTTCCGGTCCATGAACAAGAAATGCAAACTACTCACATGGCCAATGATGCAATCAGGTCAGAATTTGAGAAGCTGATGCCAGCATTGCATTTGGTGAAATTGCTTGTTTTGCTGTCAAATGACACATCCGTGCCAAGTGACAAAACATTACTTCCTAGCACAGCAGCAAAGTTGACAACAGGATTTGCGGTCAACCCAACGCTTGTGCTTATCCCAGCATAGTCATGCAAATATTGCAGCTCAATCTGTTAATTGCAAAAGTCAGGATGCGCCTTTCTCTCAGTAACAATAATATATCCAGAAAAGGAGCTCAATAAAAGCAATGACATGCCCGACTCAGATGATTAACAAGAAAACCATCATCCTTTTACTAATCAGCATTAAAGATGCCATGAGACATGAACGCTCACCTGGCCAGACCTTTGATCTGGGACTGTAAAAGAGAATATTGTCTTCAGTCCAGGGCAAGGTTCGTCAACAGTAATTTTTGTGACAAGCTGCGTATTATGAGGCAAGGTTCAGCAAAACCATGAAACAATTAAGGAAGGTATCAGAGATCCAACTTATTCTTGTAAATAACTTAACGAGTTATAAGATCAAAATGTACAATATAGACTTAATCAGCCTCATAATAAGTTCTTGACATAAAAAGCCTTTTTCCACAACCATAACATACAGCACACCATTTATGAATCCCCTTGAGCCACGATCCAGTAGTTGGTCCCCAGTTTTAAAATTTCTCTCCATGATTGCAGAAAATCGATTTACTTGACTCAACTACTCAAATAGTAAACAAAGATAGTAGAATAGGGTCCTGAAAATTGACTCACTTGACTCAACTACTCAAGTAGTAAACAAAGACTGTACAATAGGGTCCCATAAAGCTTGCCTCCTACAGGTACAGTACAACCTAATTTAACAAATTACAAGAAACAAGTACAATGCCAATTGATACTGCTAGCCCATTGGTCAATAGCACGAAAGTTGCAGTTTACCTATAATGTTCAGACGCTAACTACTAAAGAGAACACAGAGTCTTCCCTGATTACTATAAAGAATAAACCAAAACCATGTTTCGAAGGATCACAAGAAACCAACCAGTGATCCCAATAAGCCTATTCTTGCACACCATGTTTTTGACACCTAACCCAATTCCATTCTGGTCATAGAGCTGGCATTTGCTAATGACAAGCAATCATCAGGAGTTTACATTCAGTATACCATTGGCCACTATCCATTTCTCCATCAACCCCCTCCCGCCCCTCGACACCCCCAGATATGATTTAGAGAAAGAACAACATGCTATAAGAGAACTTTTCACTTTCTTCGTGCTATAAATTCACAACACTTACATTGGAGTTCGTGTCCACTTTGACATCAGTTGTAACATTCTTGTTCTTCAGCTGGGTATTAACTCTAGAAACAGCTCGCCTTTCTTTGTTGCTGAAGATGTTATAGTCTGCAATATCATTGTGAATCTCAGTTGCATTAATAAATAAATAATATGCGGCAGACAATCCCAGCAATTAAACTATGATACCAGACAAGAGTAAGCATTTTCATCCAGCTCGAACCGCGTAAAAAAAGTGAATATCCAAGACAAAAGCAGGAATGTCAACATCTGACGGTTACTATAGAGCTCCAACTGAGAGCGAATTCATCGAGTTTACGACACCTCTTATTTCCAAATACAACGAAAACCAATCGAAATCAGCAAACTCATCAACCGACTCAAAGGGCATCATTCCTCCGAAATTATCCGACGGTTTAGATCTGGAAACTAATTTTTCGGGCTCTGCACAACCACGCCCGAGTTAGAAATGCACGGTGGCGCGTGAAAACACACCGCTGTTTTGCAAACATCGACGGAACCGTCGGAAGTCCCCCAAACAATCTCCAGAGGAGAGCACGATCAGCCCCAAGACTACATCAAAATCCTAAGAAGAAACAGCCCGTCATTCGCCAATTCCACAACGCTCCGATTCACCGAAAACCACGAGAACGGTTTCATATCGCAGCTCAACCAAGTGAACAAGCATGCAGAGGTCTCCCAAAAAAAAAAAATAAAATAAAATAAAACGGAGGGGAAAAACTCACGACTCCCGTGACCGAGGAGGTAGTGATGGTGAACTTGTGGTCGCTCTGGTAGTCCTTGTAGAGGAGATCTGCACCACAAACAACCGCAACGACGCGCGCGCGGCATCAAAAACAACCTCAACCGATCGGACGAAACGACGGAACGAGAGAATCCGGCGAGGTGGGCGCGCGCGCGAGAGAACGGAGGAAACGAGCTCGGGGAGGCGGGGGGAGGGGGAGACGGTCGATGGGCGACTGACCTTTGGCTTTCTTGCCGATGTCGGAGTAGAGGCCGGGACCCTTGCCCATGGTGCTTCCGGCGGAGGCGGAGATCTCTCCCGGGTCCTAAACCCACCGAAGAGTTGCAGAGGAGAGACGACGACAGCGGAGCAGGAGCAGGAGCAGGGGGACGAAGGAGAAATGATTGCGTGGCAGCACGATACGGAAGCCGAGAACCCTAATTTGAGTTTTTTTTTTTTCCGCGTTTTTTTTTATATAAATTTTTTTTCTTTATTCGCCCTTTTCGCCGTCAAATATTGCGTAGATTTTCTAGCTTTTTTTTTTATTTATTTACCGCTTACCAATTATTTTTATTATGAATTTTGGCCAAAATTCAATAAATACTATGTTAAGACCTTTTTAACTTATAAAGACACAAATGGTTTCTGAACTTTGACCCAATGTGTAATGTGGTCCCTGAATTTTTAATTCATTCAATGTTAGTCCATGAACTTTAGTATCTTGAACTTTTAATTTATCTAATATGACCCCTGGACTTTTGGTACATATTTAACCAACATTAAATATTTTCATATAGTTAATGGACCAAATTGAACACGTACCAAAAGTTCAGGGACCATATTGAAGAAATTAAACGTTTAGAGACCACATAGCATATTGGGCTACAGTTCAGAGATCACACTGAAAAAATCGAAAGTTTAGGAATTACATTGCACATGAGGCCAAAATTGAGGGATCATTTGCATCATTTTCTTAAAAAAATTTTTGCATTTTAGACTCCGTTCGTTTGGCGGAAAATATTCTCCCGGAAAAATATTTTCCGAGTTTTCCGGTGTTCGGGGGGCGGAAAACGTTTTCCGTGGGAAAATATTTTCCTTCCCCCCTCACAAAATAGCCTAAGTCTATAGAAAATGACTTCCGCTTCTTCAAAAGCGGAAATCATTTTCCGGAGCTTCTTCTTCTTCTTCTTCTTCTTCACTAAGGTTGCCGGCCGCCGCCCTCCTCCGGTCGCCGCCGCGTCGCCGCCCGCCGCCGCCGCCGCGGTCGCCGCCGCCGCCGCCGGCCCCGCCGGCTGCCGCCACGCCTGGGTCGCCCCGCCGCCGGTCGCCCGCCGCCGCAGTCTCCGCAGGCGAAAAATATTTTCCGAAACTTTTTCATATTGATCACCAAATACCGGAAAATTATGTTCCGGGAAAACATTTTCCAGGAAAATGACTTCCGGAAAAATATTTTTCAAAAGGAGAATATTTTTTGCCAAACGAACGGAGCCTTAGTTTAATAAACACTACCCATCTACATGCATTTATTAATGTTTCAACCATTTTAACACAATTCAATTAAAAAGATATGATGCGTTCAATTGTCAAACTTATGTCGCGACATAGATTAATAAGTGAATTAATATACAAAAAGCGAGTTCGCATACCGATCCCGGATTGGAAAGTATTGTTTTGATTTGGCAAAGGGTCGCTCGGATTAGATTAAGAGGCAGATACGTTAATATTACATAATAATTATTTTCGACCAATTAAATTAGGAAATGTCAAGCGTAACTAAGCGCTTTGAGCCATGCTAAGTTTCAATTAGTTTCTAATGCCCTAATTTCTATTATTTTCGCCTCCCCCTGAATTTTATAATAATGATTTAAAAATTAACGTTCAACAATAATCATTTTCATAAAAGTTACAGGCCATATATACAAAGCAGTCTTTGCAGTATAATTTGGGCAGCGCTCTTCTTCATTTTTTGCAGAAAAATGATCAGAAATTCATTAATTTAAGATATTTAACCTAATTGAATTTGATCAGATCAATTTGGCATTGAACTGAATTTTTGAGAAAATTAGATGATTTTCTTTAGAAATAAATACACATTTTATCGGCTTAATTTTCAAGAAAATCAAGAATCGGTGCTACTTTCTCCTTCATGAAGAGTGGAGGATCTGGTTCTTGGGTCTTCTTGATCTTGAAGCCATCGATGACATTGGCAGAGTCTCCTCGTTCGTTCAAAAGAGACTGCTTCTTCAGCATGCTAAAAATGGAATGTTTGTTCCCAGATCAACGCGTACTCTTCGCGTACAATACGAGTACGATCTGCGTTCGACTGCGCGGCATACGGTATATAAGCTCTATTCTTCTCACGACGGAGTGTCTAGTGCGATCTCGACCGAAACCGGAGTGATGGGTACTGGTTTTTCCAAGAGCCGAAGAACCAGCCAGCAGAAAACTCTAGGGTCCGTTTCTGTCAACGGCCCCCTTTACTTGGTCAATTTTCTGCTAGGAGAACCCAAGTTTTCAGGCACCAATGTAGTAGTGAATTCTGATCTTTATAGGAACGAAAATGTCTAAAACGAACATGTGGATAGAAACGTAACCAGACAGGGTCCAATGTCGTCAAACAGCTCTCCTCTTTTGCTGTCAAATGACAGACTGTGACCTCTGAAATAGTGATTGGTTGCCCTCCTAATCCGGTCCTGTTCCTGGACGCCATGCTTTGTTGTTGGGGAGCTATATAAGCGCGCGCCCGCTTTTCGAATGCGTTCAAGCCTTGAGCCGAACCGACGCCGCCGACGAGAGAAGGATATCGATGGCAAGAGCTTAGCGTATTCCGGTCGCCCCAATAAGTAGTCTTGGCAAGGTCTGATCGCTAACTGAGCGAAAAACTGCGGGATCCCACGGCGACAGACCTTAGCCATCACTAACATTGTTTCGTTCCGAGGCGACCTGGACCCTTGGCCTGTCGATACGGAGAAAAAGGAAAATCGAAAAAAAGTGAGAATCGAGTCGAAAAATATATCGGAAAAAAGACATGGAGGCAATTAAGCTCGTCGGATTCATCTTGGCCTTGTCCTTGGCTGTTCTAGTTCCGAGCCTCGAGGCTCATATCGGGGAGTTCGACGAGTACTGGCAAAAGCGCGCGGAGGAGGCCCAGAAGGACGCTCTCGAGGCATATAACCCCGACCCCGAAAACGTCACTGCCCATTTCAATTCGCGCGTTCACAGGTGAGTACTCTTGCATCAGTAGTCTCGATTGTTAGAACATTGAATTAGCACAAACGATACGTTTCGTTTTCTGGTATAGTTGTGAGAGAACAAAATGACCTTTGGGTTCACGTTTCGAATTGATGCAGGGTCCTAGATGGAACCAACAGTACAAGGAGGCAATTGCACATGCACAAACACACCGGCCCATGCATCGCCACGAACCCGATCGACCGGTGCTGGCGGTGCAGGAAGAACTGGGCAAAGGAGCGGAAGAGGCTGGCCAAGTGCGTGCTCGGATTCGGCCGCAAGACCACGGGAGGCAAGAGCGGTAAATACTACGTCGTCTACGATCCCTCGGACAACAATGTGGTCAACCCGAAGCCCGGGACGCTCCGCCACGCCGTGATCCAGAGGCAGCCACTGTGGATCATCTTCTCACGCAGCATGGTCATCAGGCTGAACCAGGAGCTGCTGGTGACGAGCCACAAGACAATAGACGGCCGGGGTGCGAATGTGCACATCGCCTACGGTGCCGGCATCATGATCCAGTTCGCCAAGAACGTGATCATCCACGGGCTACACATCCACGACATCGTCGCAAAGCCTGGGGGCACCATCAGGGACTCGGTGGACCACCTGGGGTTCAGGACACGGAGCGACGGGGATGGCATCTCCATCTTCGGCTCGACCAACATCTGGATCGACCATGTGTCCATGGCAAGATGCCAGGATGGGCTCATCGACGCCATCGAGGGCTCCACTGCCATCACCATCTCAAACGGCCACTACACCCACCATAACGACGTAACGTCTTCCATCTCCTCCATATACCGATGACCTCAATGCTCTGATCTCAATGAAAATTAAGTCTAGACATTGATGTTTACATACATGCGGGGACATACGTGCAGGTGATGCTCTTCGGCGCGAGCGACTTGTACCAGGGAGACAAGATAATGCAAGTGACAGTCGCGTTCAACCACTTTGGTCGGGGCCTGATTCAGCGGATGCCGAGGTGCCGATGGGGCTTCTTCCACGTCGTCAACAACGACTACACCCATTGGCTCATGTACGCCATCGGGGGCAGCTCGCAGCCCACCATCATCTCCCAGGGCAACCGCTTCATCGCCCCGCCCAACTTGGCCGCTAAGGAGGTAATCATAAAAAGAACTGCAGACTGATTTAAGTGTCGCATTCACGATCCTCTCACGTCGCGCATGTTTGATCTAATGTAAACGCGAATTCCGAACGAATGACTAGGTGACCAAGAGGGACTATGCGTCGCCAAACGAGTGGCGCAACTGGACGTGGAGATCGCAGGGCGATCTGTTGATGAACGGGGCCTTCTTCGTGCAGTCGGGGAAGCCGCTGATGAAGAAGCCGTTCGGGAGGCTGGACATGATCAAGGCGAAGCCCGGGACGTTCGTGACTCGGCTCACGCGCATGTCCGGCGCTCTCAATTGCAACCCTAACCGCAAGTGCTAAGTTTAGACACTCGGTAAAACATCACTGTACAATCGAGTGTTTCGGTTTGGGGGGGCGGGGTGAAAGCAGCATATCGGAGATGAGAGGGAAGGACCATTTTCAATTTGAATGTTGATAAAGCAATTTCTGACTCCTAATCAAATTCATTACCTAATGCAAAAAGCGATTCCGTCGCTTCTACTTACGTTCGCCCGCGCGCACGCGAAATCAAACTATGCGAAGCCGGTGAAAAGCTTCAACTCCGGATTAGACCAGCTGCTTCACCAGCTGAATCTACAGCTGATAAAGGGTAAAATGATCAATTTTTGGCCATAAGAGGGAAACGAAATTACCAAGATGACAAAGATAATGACATGATAAACCAAGGATAAGCACATGTATGTCTTGATTGTATCTCTGGTTTTTGACCCAAGTCAAGCTGATAGAGACTAGTAGAGAGGTTTCAGTGCACTTGTTCTTCTGAATCCCAGACAAATTTTGGAATATAAACACCTGTTCTTGTCTGAAAATCTTCATTAGGGTTTCCTAGGTGCTACCACAACACCACCATACCCACCATCCGCTGAAATATTTGGATGAGGGCGCATTGTAATGTATTACCGTGGATGTTTAGCGCGAGATTTTCGTATTCCCAAAAGACCGGATTATTACTTAGTATTTTCCTTTTACTTTCGCCGGGTCATGAAATAAGACATATCGACATCGTATCATATAATTATATTGCGATGATTACTGTCGATCGCCCGATCAAGTGCCGATTTGCCTACGCAAAGAACTTCTCTATGGAGATAGTTTCGAAGCTTGGCCGTACGATCTTGGAAGTTCTTAGGGTGCATTTAGTTCGGTTTTTGCCAAAACCTTTCGAGACCTTAAAGGCTCTTGGGCAAATACAAATGGTATTTGGCAATTTTTTTAGAGAGTTTTGGGAAAATATAATTGCATTTCCAAATTCCATTAAAGACGTTTAGATTAAAACAGGTCCGGAGGTACTTTGAGCTTTGAACATTCCACAATGCAAATAGATTTTTTTATTCTTCCAATTTTGCCCTCACTATACTTTCGTAATAACACAAATGTTCTTAAAAACCCTAACGTTGCAAGCCACCGCTAGCTTTGCCTGAGGTCACGCGGCCCTCGACGGCTAAGTTTCGCCGGAAAGGTTTGGAATTTTTAAAAATAAAAATAAAAAGCTAGTAAAAGTCCTTTACGAAATGTAGTTTTTTCCTAACGATATTTTAATTAAAGTTGATTCCCAATGTGTTCTTAAATTACACTTCACCAAACATCATTTGCATTTCGGAAACTCATTTTCACCTAAAAGTCCTTCGTATCTTTCCAAAGGCTTTCCCCCAAAACCGAACTAAACGCACCGCACCCTCATTCCCTCCTCGATATATACACGGAAACATGATGTGAAAGAGGAGGAAGGAATCCACAGCGTTGGATGCCTGCTTGGGACGATTGAAATTTGATAAAATGGTCGGCATTCATGTCCAAAGTTTAATCAAGGATTGGAGAGAATGGTATGGAGGTTTATTCCCTAGAAAACACCGCCTCGAAGCTCCGTCTACACCATAACCTCCTTCCTCACCCACTTATTATTGCTATTATTATTACAAATTATTATTGTTATTAGTTGTCACATCATGCACTTCTTCAACTAACCAGACGAAACTTGGCCTAATTAATTATCACATAAATTGGACGACGAATCCAAAGAAAGAAGCTGGAGGGCAAGAAGAGAGTGCAACGATCAATTGGATCAGTTTGGAGATTGGTCTTGTGCTTGCAGGCACTTCTCTTTCCCTTTTCTTTTCTTTTCTTGTTTAAATTTGTCTCGATTGTTTTTCTATTCGTGTGTGCACCACGGAAAACTTGATACTCGAGGCGTTCTCGAGTGTTCTTCTCCCTCAGCTCGCGTGACGCGACACTATATTGTCTGATTTAATCTATGACCCTAACTCGTAGCGAAAGCGGATTGAAGACCAAGAATCCATGAGCTTGATCACAATGGAACAGCCAATGTTCTGTTGGGGCACATGAAACAGCTTGCGTCTTTCGGATCGGGGAGAGAAATTCAATCTTTTTGAGCCACCAAACAACACATTGACGTGGTCTATAAGCGAATCTCCAATTCAATACAACGAGTGTTTCGATCATATTCCTTCGCCGTCCTTCGAATCTTCAAGTATCTTGAAAAGGGTCACATAGTCATGCAAGTATTTCGTCGTCGGTCCAAAGTCGCAAAACTCGTAAAATTTATCATCTAGACTCAGTTTATTGTCAAAGCATTAGGCTCAAAACTAGTGTGGATGAACAGAAATCTTTACTCGAGACTCTGGTAGATTATGTCTATCTATGGGCCAAATCACACTATTGTACAGTGTATACCCACCGAATACAATCGTCTAAAGAAACTCTCATTACAATTTCAAACCCAATAAACCGTGGAATAATAAGATCCTCTGCCTCGGGCCGTCAGACATAGTAAAGACAAGTCCTGTCCTGCGTTGCTCCGTAGTAATAATCGCCAACCTCGTCTCATTCCAAAAACAGTTGTGACAACTAGAAGACAAACCGTGATTAAAGAAACGAATTAGGACCTCAACAATATATATATCTTGTCCATGGACTTGGTATTCTGGTCAAGCTAAGAGCACAGACAGGAAGAGGCCAGGAAGAAGAACAAGGGAGAACTGAAGCAAGCGAGAGAAATGGAAATGATGACGGTGAAAGCTGAAGAGAACACGGGGAGGCGCCGAGTTTACGTGGCGGTAGATGGCGAGGCGCCACGGCCGTGCCGCGTCAAGAGGCGCCGGAGAGGACCCCCGGCCCCTTTGGTTCCGCCCAGTTGCGACGACAGCCAGGCCCAGCAGCCGCAACAAGGGGACCAGATGTCTTCGGCCGCCGCTGTGAAGAGGAGTTCGAGATTTCGCGGCGTGAGCAGGTGCGGAGAGTGTCGAGACTTGAGAGTCTGTCGCCCAAAACGTTGAATACTCATTGAATCTTGAATCAACCATCTCTGATTCAAAATTTGTTCTGTGGACTCTACAGGCATAGATGGACTGGCAGATATGAAGCTCACCTGTGGGACAAGCTCTCCTGGAATGTGACCCAGAGAAAAAAAGGAAAGCAGGGTATGTTTCAAAACTTGCTCATTCACATGAATTCCTCATTATTCCTTTTTCAAGAATGCTAACGCTGTTTTGTCACGCTTGGTCGGACCGTTATTTGCTCCGGAACTAATTGGGGATGAACAGTTTACCTAGGTGCTTTTGATGAAGAAGAAGCCGCCGCGAGAGCATACGACTTAGCCGCGCTCAAGTATTGGGGGATATCGACTTTTACCAACTTCCCGGTACGCATGACTCGAGAAAAGAATCGATACCTTTCCCATGAAACTATGGGAGATAAAGCATCTCTTCTGAATAAGCCTATTAATCATCTGCAGATATCAGATTATGAGAATGAGATAGAGATAATGCACAGTATGACAAAGGAGGAATATCTGGCTTCATTGAGAAGGTGAGATCTAACTATCAAGCAAAGCAATAACCATCTCAATGACATTTGAGAATTAGCCTTCCCTGACTAACATCTTCCGGGTTATCTTTTCAACAGGAAAAGCAGCGGCTTCTCTAGAGGTGTATCGAAGTACAGAGGAGTGGCCAGGTGATAGCTCTATCAAATTTATGTTCTTGACACTTCACACCAGTCGTACAAATTCACTAGAAAAAGTTCACCATGAACCTAGAACAAGAAAAGAAATGCCTTTTAACTTGAACACGCACATGCTGTGCAGGCACCATCACAACGGCAGATGGGAAGCGAGGATCGGGAGAGTTTTTGGGAACAAGTACCTCTACCTCGGCACCTACAGTAAGCCACCTAACGATTTTTACACCGTTAGCAGCATAACGCCCTCGGCAATAAGCCGATTATTTTACCTGGTTCTGTCGATGCACTTTCCAGTTAGATTAAATGCAATGTTCTGCTTTGGCAGGCACTCAGGAGGAAGCAGCTCGTGCCTACGACATCGCAGCAATTGAGTACAGAGGGATCAATGCCGTCACCAACTTCGACTTGAGTACTTATATCAGATGGCTAAAGCCGGGAACGAACACCCCTAGTGCTGCACTTGAACACCTCAGTTCACTAGAACCTCAGATGGTTCCTTCGGCCCCCAATTTCGCTCCGCGAGAAGAGTCCGATAAATCTCTGTTGTTCAACGCCAATACTTTCACAGCAGACTACCTCGACTCTCCTCAAAAGCCAGATGTATTTGAAACTAAAGTCCCTCTTATCTCATGCAACAAGTCTTCTTCACCTACTGCGCTCAGCCTCCTCCTTCGATCATCGGTGTTCCAAGAATTGGTGCAGAAGAACACAGCGCTTTCCGAGGAGGACACCGACGGGGAAGAAACAAAGAACCAACCACAGTCGGGCAATGAAGATGAATTTACAGGAATTTTCTACGATGGAGAGGGTGATTTCCCATTCGATTGTTCTTCAAGCCAAGATATAGGTTTGCAACAAAGAGAGCTGCAGTTCATTTTGTGACCGGATACAGCAACGACGACATATCCTACAGATTTAACCCAATAACTGCAGGTTCCTTATTGCGCTTACAGTGGTGGAACATAATGTAAAGAAATTTTGTCCGGAAAAGGGATGTAAAGGTTTTCTTCAATGTCTAACAATAATTCATGGCTTAGCCTACCACGGACAACAATTTTTTCACTTGCGATGAGTAAGTTCATCAAATACCAGAGCTAGCACAGGACGCCATTGCAGAAAACAAAATTGGCTTGCCTAATGATAGTACAACTGCAGATGCCGCTCAATTTGGTCCCCAGTATATGTGCTTGAACGAGTAATCGTGACTAGTCTCATCGCCTATTTAAACAATCTCTTCCTATGCATCAGATAGTTCTACATATCCAATTCACAAGAAGAGACTCCAAAGTCAAACTACAGGGTAGATTGATTTTAGGGAAAAAACCACAAAAACCCCAAACTTTTCCACTTTGACACATTTACTCGACTTTTTTGTGAACCAAAACCAAACTTTGTTATTTGTGAACATTCTGATATACATTGTCATGGGCATTTTCGTCTTTTTAGCTTTTTCTTTTCTTTTACTTTTTTTTTCTTTCAAATGAGGGGGCCCTCGCCGCGTCGGCGAGGGCCGCCCTCGCCGAGATCCGACGAGGGCCGCCCTCGCTGGCCGGCGAGGCTCGCCCTCGCTCGCCCGGGCGAGGGCGAGCCCCGCCCGACGCCGGCGAGGCTCGCCTCGCCCGGGCGAGCGAGGGCGAGCCTCGCCGGCGGCCGGCGAGCCTCGCCCTCCTCGCCCAGCCGGGCGAGGCTACCCGACGCCGGCGAGCCTCGCCTCCCTCGCCCAGCGAGGCGAGGCTCGCCCGACGCGGCGGCGAGCCTCGCCCCGCCCGGGCGAGGAGGGCGAGGCCTGGCGAGGCTTGGGCGAGGAGGGCGAGTGGAGGGCGAGCCTCGCCGGCTGCCGGGCGAGCCTCGCCTCGCTCGCCCGGCGAGGGCGAGCCTCGCCTCCCCTCGCCCAGCCGTGGCGAGGCTCGCCGACGCCGGCGAGCCTCGCCCTCCTCACCCTCCTCGCCAGGCGGAGGCGAGCCTCGGCCGGCGTCGTGGCTCGCTCGCCTCGGGCGAGCGAGGGCGAGCCTCGCCGACGCCGGCGAGGGCCCCTTGGATCCGGCGAGGGCCCTCACGGAAAGAAAAAAAAAGTAAAAAGAAAAAGAAAAGGCTAAAAAGACGAAAATGCCCATGGACAATGTATATCGGGGTAAATGTGTCACAAATAACAAAGTTTGGGTTTTGACACAAAAAAAGTTCAGTAAATGTGTCAATGGAGAAAGTTTGGATTTTTTGGTTTTTTCCCGAGATTTTAATGTGATTCCATTACACTTTATCATGGAGGATCCTCTTCTGCTAGCTTTGTCATCACGCTCTTTACCTCATGTCCACAATCTCCACTTTCTTCTGCATACGGTCTTCAAAATATCTTCTGATACACAGACTGCCACTATAAACGTATACTGAAGCTCCATGAGAAAAGTAATTGTGCTTAAGAAGAAAGGTTAAGGATATCTCAAAAATGAGTTTCTCAACCCTTAAGAACCATCTCGTTTTTCCCTCCTCTGTATACAGAACTAATCCTCTGTTTGTCCATTCTGAGGTATGGCCAAGCAGATGGGTTAGGAGTATTTTGACATTAAAATTTAATTTCCCACATCAGAAGGAAGAGTAATTTCCTAGACCTTAATGAAATATTTGAACAACCCATCTCCAAATTAACGCCACTTGAGAAATCTTTGTACAGTAATCCTAATATTTGTTTTCTACTGGTCTCTAAACCCCAAACAAAGAATTGAATCATGAGTCTAGTTCTCAATTTGTGCATAAGCATGCTTCACTTATAGTTAGCAAAAGTTGGTTCTTCCACTTGTCTCAGATCTCTCAGTCTCGCTGGTTTTGATTTTCAACTCAGGAACAAGGGTAATTCCAAGTTGCCTGCACATCTAGGGGTTTTCATATTGGTTAGACAGGAGTTCCCTGATGAGCTGAAACCTCACTTTTTCAAATCAATTTAGCAGTGGAATGTTGATTTAACCTGAACCTTAAAGTTTCTTGCTTTTACTATATTGACACGGATACATGTCTCTCAGGTTGGAACATCAGTTCCCACTACATTTACACTCAATCCGTCATCACCTCATAAAGGATCTATCTAAGAGAATGGAGGCAATGATGTAGCACTCAGCACTCTTCATATTATGTTTAGGAAGCCTAAAAGGAGGAGGAAAAGACATAATCTTTTATGCAGAAAAGGAGAAACAGCACGTCTTTATCAGGAACATCACAAAATCATCACAAGGCATAAAATTCTGGACAGATCAAACAAGTTCAAGACGAGCGCAGTTGCATACTGTTCATTTCAAAATACCAACAGTGGAAACATGGGATAGATCATGCACGAAGATTTATATTTGGCTCGACTTCCTTTCAATGGGGCTGAGAACCAACATCCTCCTATGAAACTTGATCCAACTTAAGCTCACTTAGCATTTCAACAAACTAGCCGTTTTCATTCAAATAGCTGTCCTGGACAGGATGAAAAGCTGGTACAAAAGGAGTCGTTTCCAGCAGTAGTATTCAGGGACACTGTATACGAATTTCCTATTGCAAAAAGCATTAACATGATTGATGCCTCCAAGAATTCCAGATCAAACAACTCATGAAGATAGATTCGCATAATAAGGCGAAAACTAAAAGCAGTTTACATATAAAAAATAATTCAAGCTCAGCGGTTATGTTTACTGCAATTATCATCCGGCAAGTTACAATATATCAAGAACAACTGAAGCTTGCTATCAAAAAAAAAAAAAAAAGAACAGTTAAGTCTCAAATTAAGATGGAAGCTCAAACTAAATGCTCTACGAAAACTAAACCACTGGCTGCTGACCTCTCAAATTTGCTGTCACGCTGAAATACATGTGTTTGTATTGCTTCCGTTCTTTTTTACATGCCTGTCCTGCTTCTCCCAGTATCATCAAAACTGCTTTCTTTTATTCCTAAAGATCCTATCGCGTTTAGTCCAGACATAAAGGAAAGCAAACACACCCACCACAGAAATTGACATCGAACCCCACGGAAAAGGTGGATCCTTAAAGCAAACAAGAGATGCCTCAAGTTCTTGTGATGCATGATAAACAAGTGAGTGGATGCCATACAGATCGTGATCGGAGGACCTCAAGTAGTACAAAGCCATCTCGAAATCAAAATGCGACAATGCAGAAACAGCTTTGTCCAGCTTGTACTTGAACAAATTCCATCTTTGTATGAATTCGGCATGTCGATTAAATTTAAGAAGATTTCTGTCCCCGCCATGCGACATTATGGATTCAAGAACATCGATAGCACTAGTTATGCTGTAATTCAAAGATGTTAGGAGGACATTTCTCCGTGCTGCATCCTTTTGGACGAACGACAAAGACGAGATCTCCGAGAATGGCCCGAATGGTGTCTGCCCAACACTCCAAGTATAGTCCACCAGAGTGTTATTATGCCTCGAGCTCCATAACAGATGGGTAGGTGAAACTCCCCACATGCTCTGCAAGATAGAACCGACTAGAGGCCGCTCGAGATCCCTCGTCTGAGCAAAAACATGACGGCCATTGCAACTGTAATCACTCACCGTCTGTGTAATCTTCGTCCTCACTGCGATCACCATATCCTTAAAAGAAACAGATTGATGATACCGGTCAAGCAACAAGAGAGTGTTTATTTCCAAATCAAACACATAGACAGGAAGCACCCTGCCAAAATCCTCCTCAGGGAACCCTGCCAACCTCCTAAACTCGTCAGCCGAATCAGTCAATATCTGATGCAAACGCTTTGAGTCCAGGTACTCATTCACGATCAGAGTATAATTATCAAACAAGAACCTGGAAGTGTACGAATTCGTAGCTCTTGAAATCGCGAAAGAACAAATCGGGCAGTCCTTATAGTTCACCGAATACTCCTTAAAGCTCAAAGACTGATCACCCAGCAACAACCCGCCATCATTCACCTCATCCCTGAACACCCTCTCAATATTCTTCCAGTCCAAACCACTCGAATCCCTACTCTCCGAGCCATAAACATGTATAAACTGAACAATCAAGGAGTTCTCGAAAGGGACCGGAATTTGCAGAGAGGGCACAACGAGTACCTGGTATGCGCTCCAGACCAGAGATGCCAAGTCCGCGTGGAGCGCCTTGTGCGACTTGGGCCGACCGTGCAGCGCCGCGAGGGGATGGAACTCGCCCCGCGGCAAGACCCCGTCGCCGGACAACGCGGGCCCATAATCGACCGGCCCCGCCGCCAAATCGATCCAGACGTACCTCTCCCTCCCGGTCCAAATGCTCCCCAGGCATTTCGTGAACCCCGGGGAAGACTCCCCCGGCGTGTAGCCGTACGCGTACGGCTTCTCCTGCGTGCCAAGGTCGAGGAAATAGACGTAGACCCCCTCGACGGGCTTCTCCCTCTCGAAATCTTGCCGGATCAAGCCGTCGACGGCGGCGTGCGGGATCGAGAGGAGCGGGGAGCGGAGGGAGGAGGGGGACTTGGCGATCTCGGCGCGGAGGGCGTCGGAGAGGGAGGAGGAGAGGGAGGAAGGGGCATGGGAGACGTCGAGGTGGAGGGAGTGGCGGAGGGAGAGGCGGTGGGAGGGGCGGCCGCCGCCGGAGGGGGAGAAGGGGGCGATGACGTGGAAGTGGCCGGAGGGGAGTGAGGCGGAGAGGAAGGAGGAGAGGAGGGAGGAGGAGTCGGGAGGGAAGGAGGGGCCGACGAGGCGGACGTGGACGGGGACGGCGAGGGAGAGGGCGGAGAGGGCGTCGACGAGGCGGCTCAGGTGCCGGGGTTGCTGGCCGCCGCCGCCGGGGTAGGGCTGGACAGAGAGGGAGGACTTGAGGGACGAAGGGAGGGCGAGGAAGGAGTCGTTGGCGGCCTGCGGGTCGCGGCGGTACTGGTCGCTCAGGAAGGTGTCGAGGCCGACGATCGGGGCGGCGGAGGTCGCGGCGGCGGCGGCGGAGGAGATCGCGAGGAGCAGGAAGAGCCCTAGGGCCGCCGTGGCTCCGGGGGCCATCGGGAGGAGGACGAGGAGGCGGCGGCGGCGGCGGAGGA